GGTAGAGTGCCAAACCGATGCCCTGAAGACGTTAGTTTTCACTTTTTTCTTAGTATTATGATGAGTGGCCGTAGGTGATGAATTCAAAGATTGCTCATAAAGATCCGACAAAATGGAGCAGACCATGGAAAAAGTTAATAACAATGAACCCTAATGAACAAAGGGCTTCGTCAATAGCAAAAAAAAATCTGTCTCTCCACATGAACAAACGAACCAGTTTTCTCGTCGAGGTCGTTAAGAATTGTAGGTAGTTCGATACCCTTTTCCTGAGCTTCTTGAGCAACTTTATCCATGGCAACTCGTTTCTTTTCCTTACTGAAAATAGAAAAATGTAAGGGACAGCGCAGAGATCAGGCCTAGTAGTGAGAAGATGCGTGGTTAGCTGGTGATTTCTGGGGCATTTTTCAATATTTTGTTCCCAAACGGTTTGATCACTTGTGTTTAGATTGGAATTGGTGACTTCCGCTCCATCGGTATCAACAAGATGCCTCGTAAAAGTCTGGGAACATCCTATCAAGGAACAACTGAAGGTCCATCGGGAGGAGAAGGGTCATATTTCGAAAATGCTTTCACAATTATGTACCCTGCTTCTCAAAACTAACCTTAGAAGTGGCATCAAATATTTGGCTGTCTTGTTGCCACTCCACATGCGCATCATTCCAACAGAAGCGCCCATATGATCTCCACCTGAAAGTAGAGTCCAGTCGATTTGTTGTGGATCTTAATTGATTAGAGACGTTCGTAGTGGTCATTTAATTGCGAGCGCGGTTATACTTCGCGATTTGGTCGCTATGAAGCTCACGACAAGCTCACGATCGGCTCCTCTCGTGCTAACAAAACGACCAATTCGCGATGTGTGAACGCACATTACATATTTGTGGGCGGATCTTCAATACCTAATTAAGACCACCATAGGAGACAAAAATGAGATTCAGGAGTAACTAAGTGAGAGTCAGAAGAGCGCTAAATGTCAAAGTGTGCGCGCTAGAAGCTAATCGATCTCACCTGCTGCCATTTTCTGCTGATATTCAATTGCTACTTTCAACATTAAATTTATATAAAAATCTTCGAGTGCAACCTGTAATCGATCGATATATTGATTTGCTATTTCATTCGTTATATACCTGCACTCCTTATCCCTGAGACTGAGTAGGCGTGGCATTATGGCATAAGGGGTCACTCTTGAGGTCTTTCATTTCGAGACAACTGTCATCTTGTTCTGTGTTGGACAGAGACACGACCACAATTGTGTCAAAATGAAAATATCTCCACAAAAGCACAGCCACCGCCATGTTTAGTTGAAGTACGCAGCCATGAGAACCTCATTTTAGGGGGACTCGATTGTATGATATCGTCTCTA